ATTATCATTCTACTTAAAAATGAAATTCTGAAAATATATTACTAATTATATATATATATATATATATCCCAACAACATCAATAGATTTGAAAATATTCAAAATTTTATTCTTTATCTTTTATTTAAAAGATTAAAAGGCCAATAAAAATACTAAACTTAGAAGAAAAAATAATATACAGACTAACATAAACACATATATCTATGCTTTAATTGATTTCTTAAGTAGAAGAGAATCTTTATTGATTATTTTTATCATATTATCTTATAAAATATAATGCATTCATCATAAATTTTAAATTTATCATTATTATACCCTCTAAGATGAAAAATTATTTTGTGCGGATGTCAAACGCCGTCCGGATACCAATCAGAATACGCCACATCACCCTTTTGCTCGACACCACTGACGTGATTGCACCTTATTCGTCTTTGGACGTAGAAATGCGTCTGACGTCCGCACAGAATAATTTCTCTAATCTACTCATCATAGGTATAACCAAGTCTTAAAACATCTAAAATAAATTTTTAAAAATGAATTAATTTTACCTTGAATAAAATTTGGATCAAAATTTGTAAGTTCATTTGACTGAAATTGAGATTAATAGTCAATTTAAAGTTGCATTACCAAAAATGTTGCAGCTCCCTTTCATTTATTTCTGTGATATACAGTTGATGAATTTGTGGTTAAATTTTGTTAAAGCCTAAGAAAATTCGCAAACAATCGATCCGTCCATTTGACTGAAATTGAGATTAATAGTCAATTTAAAGTTGCATTACCAAAAATGTTGCAGCTCCCTTTCATTTATTTCTGTGATATACAGTTGATGAATTTGTGGTTAAATTTTGTTAAAGCCTAAGAAAATTCGCAAACAATCGATCCGTCCATCTCGCTGGTAGTACTACAGTACACGAATCTTAATGACACTTGATCTTCACGTACATGGGTCCACCTCGGCAACTTGCTATCGCCGCTAAAATAATAGAGTGCTTGCAATTGCAGGTCTCGTGACGCCCTCGTCTTAATGACGGAGATAAAGCTGTCCTTCTCCTCTACTATTTAGACCGTACTTGTAGACCTCTAAAAATTAACCAAATTGTTTAGCCCATATTTTAGGTCATTACGAGGTGGGTGAAATTTTGGGGGAAGTTGTATTTGGTGAGATTCCAAATAATAAATTGGTTGCATTGTGGACCCCACTTGCCAATTGCTGGATTTTCCGCAGACAGGAGGACATGCATCTGCTGTTTGGTGCTCTGTTACCAACAGCCAATTAGAAACTCCGGCTAGGGCTAGCGGCAGACTTTTACTGTCGTTCAAATTCGTTTATTTTTTTTTTCTTTAAATTTTGTTTGGGCTTAACTATTATTTAAACTGTTTGTCTGATTAGTTATTACTCATAAAAAAAAAAATATATTCGAACTTTTTTCACTAAATTCTATAAGAACTCCATTATATTTAAATCAATTTAAATATTTGCTCAATACTTTAATCGAACTTATACTTTTAACATAAATATTTTTTGAAATGTTAAATCTAATAATTTAAAATTAATTAAACTAACTTATTTTTTTTAATTCTCATGGAACTTCTTAAACATCAAATGAATATAAATGTAAAATTAAATTAATATTTAGTGTTAAATTAGTTATATACTTAGTTTTAAAATTTTATTGACATTGTTTTTAAGTTCTATTACATTTTCAAAATGAACAAATAAATGAAGTTGATTTTATGAATATCAAGTTATTTATAAAATTAATAGATATTATGATTCATAGAAAAATAAATATGATATGCATTCAAAAAACTAAATGAATTAAAAAGAAAACTAAAGAAATTGATATTTTAGAATTTAAATTATAATATTCTCATAGCAATCATATTAGAAATAGTGTAAGTGTGATTATAGATAAAAATTTGAAGAATAATATTATAAAAAATTAATTGAATTGAAAATATAATTAAAAATTTAAATATTATTAATATTATAAATATTTATGCCCCTCAAATAAGTTTGGATATTTGAAAATTTTAAAATGACTTAAAAAAATTAATATAAAATATACATCTTGAAGAAAGAATTTTTAGTAGAAGAGATTTAAATGAACATGTTAATAAAAAGTTATTTTAAAAGCATTCATAGTGACTATGATTTTGATGCGGCTAATGAAGGTCGTAAAACCATATTAGAATTTTTATAGATTATGATTTTGCAACTTACTAATACCTTATTTAAAGAACGAGAGATGAGCATCTTTATCATTTAATTAATTTATTTACTTCTGTAGCTTCCGTCAAAGTATTTGCTTTATGAGCTTGTTAAGAGCTCCATATTAAGGAGAGCCTCAAATCAAAATTGAGTCAAGGTAATCTAGGTTAACCTTGCCTTTGCATAAGATAGGCCAAATGACTGACTAAGGTTTCATTTGGGGCGGCTTTTTTACTACTCCTTAAAGCAGTTTTCTAGCACAAAAAATAAAATTTTTGTATTAAAAAGCTGCTTTTTGAAGCAGCAAGAAAGCCGTCCAAACCTAAATCAGATGTGGGACTCTTGCTTGATGTACAAAAGCTCATAATGGCGAGGGGAAGAGAGATTAGAAGAACATTCTCATGGAACATCATCAATTGCAAGATCAAATCTCGATCTATGAAACAGACAAGAAACACATACAAAAAAGTTATAAGGTTGCTCACTCCACACTAAGTTGTACTAAAATAAGTTTCAGTTAATAGTGGATAACTTAAGAAAAATTCAAACTACAACAAAAACTGGTTTTCCAAAGAATACACTCATCTGTGGGTCTTGAAAATGGTCAAGAAACTCTGGACTGAAAGGAAAGGTGAAGCCTTGTAACTTGAAAAAAGTTTAGTAGACTTGCCCAGCTCACAAGTATATTTGCATCTTGATTCATAGCAAAAGGTGTTAACCGCAGCTTCATATCAGCACTCTCAGCCCAGAAAGTTCAAATGTATAGAGTATTGGCTTGCAAAAGTCAGAGAAATAAAAAAACCTGAAAGAAATATGTAAGATGATAGATAATTAACTATCAGATATTCAATTAGAGTAAATTGTAAGTTAACTGTCGTTGCACGAGAAGAACACTTGAGATTTTAGAAGTAATCTAAGCTGAGACAAGGGAATTAGCATTCAAAAGCTGATCAATGCATGGGTTTTGGTAAGGCAAACATTTAGGCTTCATTTGGGGCAGCTTTATTACTAGTACTTCTTAAAGCAGCTTTTTAATAGAAATTTTTTATTAAAAAATTGGTTTAAGAAACAGTAAGAAAGCCGTCCCAAATAAAGCCTTAGAAGCTGCCAATCTGCGGCATTCTCATCTTCAATTCCAAGGTTTTTCCAACCACTTAGTTCAGTTATGAACAGCTCTCGAGAGTTCGCTCTTCAGTTTTTATATAAATAAACAAATCTGAATTCAAGTTAGAGCAAGATTAGCTACATACCCGCTTGTTCTCTCTGCTAGAACCTTTGAAGGGTGATGAGATAATTCAAATTTTGAAAAAAGAAGTCTTCAATAAAAAGCCTCACACAATTTCTGCCTTAAACTAACTAAAGCTTCATTTGAGGCGGCTTTCTTGCTGCTTCTTAAAACAATTTTTTAGTACAAAATCTAAAATTTTTGTAATAAAAAACTGTTTTAAGAAGCATCAAGAAAGTCATCCCAAACAAGGCCTAAGACTTCATTTGGGACGGCTTTATGACTGCTTTTTAAGGCAGCTTTCTAGTAAATAAATTTAATTTTGTACTAAAAATCTATTTGAAAAAGCAGTAAGAAAGCCGTCCCAAACGAAGCCTAAGAACGTACAAACTAGTCATTCAGTAACAGGCAGCTGCTTTATGCATGACCATGGTCTTAAGCACCAACTCCACAAGTTGATCATTAAAAATTAAAAATAAGTGCCAGTAAAAGCAATACCATGAATCCAGATAGAACGGTGTTTATAATCTTCTAGCATTAATATTCTGTAAAAGTACAACAATATGATGTTTAAGGGTGTCTAAATCAGACGAAATACAATTGAACCTCGAAGATGTAAAAAGTGCATTCAAATAGCTTAACAAAAGAAGAAATTTAGGGGATAAATAAAAGGATTGCAGCTACAATCACTTATACAGAGCATCCACTAGCCACAAAAACAAAGCCAACATTCAACTAAAGTTGATCAATGGGGACAAAGACGAGATAGAGCATCCAAGGGCGGAACCATTTAGGTTCCAGGGGGGGCAGTTGCCCCCCCTCAAAATTTTTTTTTTTAATTTTTTTATATGGTTTTTTTAGGTAATTTATCCTTTTTATTCATTTTTTAGTCTTTATTACAAGAGTTTTCATGCAATTGCCCCCCCCCTAAAAATTTTAAAATACTATGGTCTTTAGATAATTGCCCCCAACAGGTCGAACCCCGCCAGAAGACACTGCCCCCTTGAATCCTCGACATATATGTCTTATAAGTTTGCCCCCCCTGAAAATTAGAGCTGGTTCCGCTCCTGAGAGCATCTATGGCATCGACATCTCAAGGCATCAAAAAAAAAAAAAAAAAAAAAAAAAAAAAAAGCATTAGCACTACGCCAAGATTCTCGTATTCCCAGTGATTGGAAGTAACATATGTCCAAATTGGGTGCTGATGCAAGCTAACGAAATCAAAGATATCTTCAGGGTAGAATTAGTATGGGAGCAGATAGAAATTGCCGATAATCATTCTCTCAAAGAAAAAATAAAAAAAAGAAAGACTTGCCCAAGTACTGCTAGCTAAGTTGCACCAATACACCTATTTATGAAGGCGTGCTGTATCCGATACACGGATACGCCTGCAATACAGTACCGATACGTGTCGGATATGACAAAGCCGTATCCAATTAAAATACTATTTAATTTCAAAATGACACGCATATCTGATACGCTTCGTCCGTTGAAAAAATAAAAGAAATCAGAAAAAAAAAACCCGTCGGATTTACTTCCGCGACTGCGAGCGAGGTTCTTTCATTTCCGAGATGGATTTGAGTCTCTAGATGATATGAGAATATTAGAAATTGCTAATCTTTCACTTGATGAGCCTGAATTAGAAGTTATGATATTTATTGAAGATGATATAAAAGTTCAAAGACAAACCACTGAAGAAGCTAATCATATCATTCTTTCTATTGAATAGTTTAAACTTCATGTGCTACACAATTTATGTTTATGCTTTTGTTGTTGTACTAGACATTTAATGCTTACTTTTATTTTGATATTATAAGCTACAAGGCTACAAATGATGTTACTTTCATTTTTTTTTTGTAATTTCAAATATTATGCTTTAATTGCTTTTTTATTTTTTATGTATTATTTATAAATTATAATGTCATGACTGCACCGTGCCCGTATCTTGTATTTTTAAGAATAAACGTGTCCCGTATCCATATCCGTGTCGCCGTATCTATATCGGTGCAGCATAGACTGCCACCGTTTAGATAAAAGAAAATAATACACAAGGTGTTGCAGTCCTAACTTGTGAGCCATGACCTAGCAAGAATGAACATTTTAGGGATGTTGCTGTCTAGATAAATCGCAACAATAACTTTACATTTGAAATAAGGAGGCCATCTAGATGCGAGAATAAGATGGGGAAAACAACATAACCCATTCCCCAGGTGGATTATAATCTCCTCCCCTCTTCTTTCAAAATCTGCACCCATTCATTCATACCCAACCCCCTCACGCCTCTCCTCATACCTTCTACGTATCTCCTCCCTAGGAATAGGTTCTAGAGGAGGTCTTCTCTCTTCTCCCTCCAAGATCTCCATCTTTATTCTTCCCCTCCCCTTATCATAATAGGGTTTTCCCTACTCCCATGGTTGTCGGCGACTTCTCTCGTCTCTAACGATGCCATTTTGGTTTGGCACTTGAGCAACTTCTTCATCATCCCCTCCATGATAGCAAATTTTCCATCAATCTTCTCGTGGACGACTGAAATTTGAGTTTGAAAATTGAAATTTCATATTTCAATTGTTCAATCTCCCCTTCTACCTTTTTTTCCCGCCATAGGTACTCGAATCTAGGCTCCATACATTAAGAAACAACAAAAAAATAGTGAATATGGTATTCAAACAATAAAAATCAGCAAGACGGAGGGAAAAAATACAATAGAAATCAACGAAGAAGGCTTATATTTTAGCCCAAGACACCACTCTGATACCAATTTGATAGAAAGTAGATGCAATTTCAGCCAAAATCAGCGAACAATAATAAAAAATTGGGAAGAAGAGCACATCACAAATGTCTTTATTATAGGATATATGAAAGAGAATAGCGAGATATAGTTGGATCTTCAATTGGAGAGGAAGATCAGGCTCTCCCAAATCCCTAGCTGCCGGCTAGAGCCCTCACAACATATGACATTCTAATTTCAGCAAACACAAGCATAAGCCATAAACCCTAGGGTAAAAACCTACATAAGGCATACAAAAAACATGGCAAATCCTAAAACAGCTCTTCACTGTTCAAATTTCCCTCCTAGCCGCTCAAACCCCTTGAATTATTCCCCCTGGGTCCCACCCCAAGGGGGCGGCATCTAATGCAAGCGGGATTTCTGCATGCTATAAGCGATCGTCAGTCCATGACAGACTGGCTTGATTGGTCCAGGACGGACTAGTCCATCAAATTATTGGGGACGAGAAGTAAACACCACAATGACGAAACAAGCAAGAAAGTAAAAGCAGCAGAAAAGTAACGGACAGTAGCATTTAAAGTGGAAAAACTCAAAATAGAGGAAAACCCACTGAGCCATGCCACACCAAGAAATCCATTATGAAAACTGGGATGAATAAGTATAGATCTCTCTTCTATCTCGCTCTCTCCTCCTTTCTCTTCCCACATGCACCGTTCTCAATGTCTATAAACCTAAAATACAAGAGAAAGCCAAGTAAATAACCCCAAGAGACACAACCCTTCAGAAAAACGAGAAAGACAACCGTCCACTACACCATATATAGACCATTGCGATGCTTCGCTCTCTGTCATTCAGTGATGGGGCGCTCAGGTATGCAGCACTGGGGTGCCCAGATTCACAGCGAACATGCAGAAAAAAAATTTGCCGGGGGGTAAACCCCCTGCACTGCTCAACAAGCATGACAAACTTGAGGTCAAAGCAACAGAACAACCCGATTGATCAATACAATCAGGTTCCACACAACACAAAATCACTCCAGAAAGAGAGAAAAAACATGAGTTAAAAAAGTCAAGAATGGAACATCTTCTAGCAACGTAGTAATGCTGAGCACAGTTAACATGATCTCAAGAAAGGACAGGTAGCATGATTAACTCATAGAAGACCTAAAGGTCACATAAGAAACTTACAACTAAGAGGGCTTCGTCTTTAGACCAGGTTTTGAAATGCGCTTCAGAACCTGTACACCCTTATTCATCTCCCTACAAAGGAAAAAAATATATTAAGCATCACTCTGAACCTTTAAGCATTAATGATACATGATTCGAACCTTTGTTGCAAGTAAACCACAGTATAGAACAAAGGTAGCAGCATCACAACTAATATGCAAACAGCTAGGTAGAATACACTCGACTCCTTCTGCATAGACAATAAAATCAGTCCTGTCAATTTGAGAAAAATCTAAAGTTCTAATCATTAAACAAACTCATACCATCTATTATAAATAGATGAATTAATCATTTCTTAATTATAATAAATAGAATGAGAAAAATCCACAAAGTAGATTTCACCATGAAATTGAATTCAAAGAACATAATTTTAAGAAGCCTTGAGCCTTGGCAATATTTTTCATGGATATGAAAGAATGAAGACCTGATGAAAGAATGAAGACCTGAGCAAACACTATGGCTTCGTTTGGGACGGCTTTCTTACTACTTAAAGCAACTTTTTAGTACAAAAAAATTAATTTTTTAGCTAAAAAGCTACTTTAAGAAGCTATAAGGAAGCCGTCCCAAACGAAGCCTGTATCTACAAGAAAGTTGATATAATGATCCGTAGATTCTACAAACATGCTATTTTACCTTGCCCCCTCTAGAAAATGGCTTTTTCCCTCCAGCACATGTGTGAGCATCACAAAATTGACGCAAGAAAAATTCTACAAAAAAAAAAGGTAAATGCCAGTAGTAAATAACATATAAGATAAACTTGTATGAAGTAAAATACCATGCAGACGGCTTGCTGATTGACCCTTATTTAGAGGAAAGCAACTATCGGCAAGGCTCTGCAATCAAGACCATCTAACAGACTGTTAATCAAAGGAATTACATGAAAATTGATAGGCTTATATTAATTTCTAGTAATAAAAGAGCTACGCTTGGTGATTAAAACTAGACAATCAATCAGTGTAATCTGTTTGTGCAGTTTTCTAAGGGGCACACCTCAAAAGAAAGCAATGCTCCACAAGCACTATTGCGATTCATCTAGAAATTGTCACTAGTCATGCAGGATTTTACCGTTAATACAAAATCTTTCTAGGAATCCTTAACTTGAAAATTACAGAAGAAGCATATCATTCATTTCTATCAAACTCCAGAGAAGTTCACTCGAAATAATCATGAACCGTACTAGCAGAAATCATTCAGCTCTAGAAGATAATGGGATCACAACTCTGTTTAAAATTGTGCAATTAGAGGCGCGCCTTTGCGCAATTTGACCAAAAAACGCCTCGAGGCTTACTCAATTCTTCACCTGGATGAGGCGTATGCCTCACCTGGACTGAGGCGCGCCTCAGAGGCGCAATTGCGTAATTCTGGGTGAGGCGTACGCAAGTCACAAATCAAAAGTTCAATAATATAATATATACTACGAATAATATATTTGAACTCTACTTGGACGCTATGACACTAATGTGACAAGAAGTTTTCAAGCATTGCTACAACATCACTCAAGGACTGCTTGTAAGATTACTATTTGAGGTGATCTCCCCGGCCCTATTAATGTTTACATCAAGGAAACCCTCAGAATTATAACTTCTCATTAATATGAAAACACTATTGATCATTGTACACTTGTTAAATAAACACTTGAATCAACATTACCAAAGAATATTCATTCAATATCTTAGTACTAAACCATGTCACCCATGTCAGATCTCTTGGATTCCATTCCAATAGGCACAAAACATGTTGGAAATATTGAGAAAAATGTCACGCTTGTCATTGCAATTTGAGGCAATTCAAGATAGGCTTTTATGATTTAAAAAAAGAAAAAAGAAAAAAAGATAGGCTTTTATGATATTGTTCGACATCATTTACAAAATATACTAATTTGAGAAAAAATTGGCAGCAAACTTTCACACTTTTTTTTTTCTATTTGTCAATTAGACCAGGTCCTTTACAATGGCCCTTTCTATCTTACCTAAGTAACCGCGGGATTCTAGTTGGCTTTTCATTTGCTTTACTTTTATTACAGTCGTTATTTTACCGATCTCGCTAATTTAGGCTTAAGCTCTTGCCTAAGCGTAGTTGAATTCTACGATCTCTGAAAAGTATCAATTGTGAACAATGTTAAGCTTGCAATTTTCACCACTTAAACAATATTTTATTAAGCTTCTAAATTCAATTCCTGGTTTCACATCACATATGGGACTTTTTATCTAGGATAAAAGCAACATAAAAAAATGGCAGCCCCATCATGCCCTAGAAGCATAATTAAATTGTTTCCCTCTATACTCGCAACTCATACATTGGCTTATAATGCATAAGTGCATTAATAGTCGAGCATAAATAAGTTTAGCTTGAGCGAGCTCAAGTATTATTTAAATTGACTTATTAAACAGATGAGCTCTCTCTTTTTTTTTTTTTTTTTTGCTCATTTATTTATCAAGCTCAACACAAGTTGTTCACCATCATAAATTCTACTTGAAAGTCAACATATAATTAATAGAGCATAAAGGCCACCATACTGATAAGCTCCGCCCAGACTAGCTTGGCCAGCCCGGCCCAGACCAACCCAGCCAATTAGCTCAACCCAGGTCGAACTAGCCATGTAGTTGGGCGGTACCAGGGGCTGCAGGAGGGGGAAGTTCGGTCCCCTTTGTGATATCAATTAGATTTTTCGTTGTTGGAGTAAACATAAATCAGCCCTCATACTTAAGTTTATGCAATTTCCTCTTATCTAATTTGATGTTTTTGCTTCCAAGTTGCAGAAAATTGGCATCAAAACGAGATTTTGGAGAGATGGCAACAAGTAAGATGGATGTGTTGGAAGGCAAAGTGGAGCAAATCAAATCCGGGATGGAGGAGAAGCTCTTAACCATCAAAGAAAGGTTTTCAGCCAATGAGAATTGGATGGAGAACTAATTTGGAGTTTTGGAGGAAATAATGAGAAAGCTGACGGAGAAATAATCCAAAACTCTACTGGCGGTTCCGATTGCTAACCCTAACAGAGATTTGACCGGTATTCCCTTGGCCAAATCCAAGGTAAGGAGCTCAGATGGGAGGATTTTGACGATGAGAGTTTCTTTCATCGAGAGCCACCTCTTATTTTTTTTACTAGCTCATTAACAGGTCAAGCTCATCAAGAGCCACCTCTTAGGGCTCCGATAAGGGGCAGATCAGGGTTTTCGGATGAGGGAAGAAAGGAGGGAAATTTTTGGTGGAGGTGGTGGGGTGGCCGACCACTATGAGAGGCATTTCGGGCAAGGGGAGTAGGCGACCAGAAATGTAGGGGGTTGAGCCGAGCCATGGGGATCGGGTTATACAAGGAGGATGGAAGAAAGATAGGATTCCCACCCTCAATGCATGAGGGGAACTGTTGGAGGAAGAGGAAGTTGGAGTGAAGATGCTAAGGTGAGGAAGTTGAAGATGCAGATATTTGAAAGGTAGGATGCCCATATTTGGGTGCATCGGGTGGAGAGATATTTCACGATGAATGTGTTGAATGAGGAGGAGAAGCTTACAACCGCAGGACTATGTCAGGAGGGGAAAGCCCTAACTTGGTTTTAGTGTAGAGAGTCCAGATATCTGATTCGCTTTTGGGAGGAGTTTAATGATTATTTGTTATTGCAGGAAGCAAAGAATCATCTTGGTTACACGCTAAGGAGGGAACAGCTGCTAAATCAGGGGCGATTCATCTTACCGAGGACATTGGGTACATTCCCAAGATGTTGCAAGAGTTTCATGGCAGCGCAGTTGGTAATACTCAGGAGTTTAGAAAACCTACAGTCGGTTGTCCTCAGAGTTATACTGGGTGGGGATGGGCCGAGATGTAAAGGACTAGGTGGCAAGATGTGATTTGTGACAGCAACACAAGTACTTGGCCATGACCAGAAGGATTACTACAACCTCTAGCTCTATCAAAAATGGTGTGGGACGATGTGGCGAAGGACTTAATCGAGGGGTTGCCGCGTTCGAAGGGATTTTCAGTGATACTACTAGTAGTAGTGGATCATATGAGCAAGTATGCATACTTCATCCCTCTAAAGCATCCTTACACAGTGGTCTTTGTGGCTACTGCTTCATATAGGTGGTGGTGCATTTACATGAATTTTTAGAATCCATTATGTCAGCTAGAGACAAAGTGTTCATCAATCATTTCTAGAAGGAGATGTTTCATTTACAGAGGATAGTCTAGTCTTGCAGAGGAGCATAACATACCATCCCCAAACATATGGCCAAACAAAGGTGGTCAACATAAGTGTAGAGACCTGTTTGCAATGCTTTGTATAGGGTACGCCGAAGAGTTGGGCAAAGTGGATTGCTTGGGCCGAGTATTGGTACAACACTTTGTACCATTCAGCAGCACTGACCACCCCTTTCAAGACTCTCTATGGGAGAGACCCACCTCATTTGATACATTATGGCCAAAGCACTAAACCAGTATCCAATGTAGATCGATACTTAGAGGAGAGGGACAAAATATTAATAGAGCTCAAGGGACAGCTGTTGAGGGCCGAATAAATCATGAAGAGGAAGGTTGATGGCACATGAGATAAGTATAATTCAAACCAGGAGACATGGTTTACTTGAAGTTGAGACCCTACCGATAAAAGACACTAGCCAAGATGAGCAATGAGAAATTGTGCCTAAAATCAGCGGATCTTACATATTCCTAAATACAACAAAAAGGTATCTAGAGAACTATTAAATAGGCCCACTCAAAAGTTAAAGATATCTCTTCTATCCATGAGACCAAGATGAAGTTCTCAACAATCAAACAAAGTAACATCTCTGTGATTGAATATTTCTACGTAATGAAGGTATATTGGCTTGAACTAAATTACAGTCAATATCTTAAGATGAAGTATGGTGATAAAAATGTGGTTCTTAAATAATTTATAGAAAAAATAGGGTGTTAAAACTTCTTGTAGAATTCAACAATGAATTAGATCAGTTCGTATTCAAAGCTTAAACAAAGAGAACCTATTACCCCTAAATGAGATCTTCTCACTCATACGAACTATAACAACAACAACATCAAGTTTTTATCCCACAACATGGAGTCGACTACATAGATCCTTTTTTGTCCATTGTGTTATATTAAGAGTCAAATTTTCATTTAAATATAATAAAAAAATATCATTTAAACTAAAGAAGAAAAAAATATAATAATGCTTGATACTCTGAACTCAGAAACATCAGTCATGAAAATAACTTAAAGCCAAGGGAAAGGACTTATATGACTGAATCTTCTCACAAAAAAGGATAAAATCCACTCCCCCTCCTAAAAATAACTTGTGGTGCAATTACTTCAAAAAAAATAGACCTGTCAAAGAGTAATGCTAGAAACTCCATGGAAAGACTCAAAACTATGGTGCAAGCAAAGAAGGTTTATCAAAAGAGTAGGCTTATCTTGTTGAATCATAAGGGGTCAACTCAAAAGAAATTGACAAGCAGAAGGACATCCTCAAAAAAAAAAAAAAAAAAAAACTTTCAGGTCATGCTATCTAGCTCAAAGTGATACAAATTTTAACTTTTGTGCTTTTAATACCTCAAGTAGTTCCCTTAAAAATAAGACAATAGATTCAGGTGCTACCGATTATATGAAAAATCTTGCCACCATTTTCTAAGCCTACAAATTGTCTCCCATTAATAGAAAAATAAAAATAATTGATGGCTTCCTAACCATTGTTGCAGGACATTTTGACCAAGGTCTTTGCAATCATATAATAAAAATATGTTATGTAAACTTGGAATGGTAGATCTTTATCATTCAAATTGAGGGGGAGTATTGAGAATACAAAATCCCATAAATTGATGACTTGGCATAAACATGAAAAGAATTGGCAAAATTAGCTCAGGCATAATGAAGGGACCCTAATCAGGCAAAATCAGCTCAGGCAGCATGAAAAGAATTATATGACAGTGGGAACCCAAAAATCAACCAATCTTGGCATGGTTCCTCAAGCACACGGATTAAAAGTTCTAATCGTTGAATTGATCCTCTTAAAAGTTCTAATCGTGGAATTAGTGTAACGTCTCTTACTCTTCTAGCCGCCAACCCCTTTGGGGACCATTTTTCCTTTTTTATTCAATCATTGATTTATTTCCATCGTAAGCCTTCTATATAATTCACAAATACTTTAACACTCTGTACAAAAATAAGTAATAAAATTCAAAAGTCTTTTTCTACTTTCTACATTTCTACATATTAATTGCCAATTTATTCCACTATTGTATTCCTACATCAGTTAGAAATAAGAAAGGAATGCATACTCCCACACATTAGTGACTTGGAGGGGCATGTGGTGCTATAATAGAATGTACGTACATAAATTTTATTATGTGGGGTAGGCAGATGAGTGGCTTTACTCTTAGAGAGGATGCGAAACGAGCATATACGCAAAAAGGTTGGAGTAGCTCCAGTGACAGCTAAGATTAGAAAGAGTCCTTAGATGGTTTGGTAACATAAAACGGTGGCCTTCCGATGACCCGGTAAGGAGAGTAGACGCATTAGATTTGGCCTATGTTAAAAAAGGTAAAAGTAGACCTAAAAAGACTTAGTTATAAAATATTAGAAATGACCTTTCTTTGTTAGATTTAAATGTGAATTTGACTCTTAACAGAACACAACGGAGAAAACAAATTCATATAACCGATCCCACATAGTGGGATAAAAGCTTGATGTTGCTGTTTGGGGTTGGCATCCATTCAAATTCAATGTAATTATTTTCCTTAGGAATTGTATAACTGCCTAATCCTTAGATATATCATTTGTGAACAAATACTGAGAAGATAAATAAATAATCCAAACTAACTACATTCTGCATAAATACATACATACACACACAAATATATATATATATATATATATATTTCAGCAGACAGATCTCCAGAAACTGAAATGGAAGGATGAAAAGGGTATTGATATTTAAAATTACCTCACAAAGATGTCGGTTCCTTGCCGCAGCTGCAGGATTACATTTAGTCTTTGTCTTCTTGGAATCAATCACGAAGTCACAATGCAGTGCTCCACATAAATCTGCCAGGCATCGACCTTGACTCTGGATTCATTATAAAATAGATGGCTTCTATTATCAGTAAACAGGGAGGGGGGCAAAAATTGAAGTAACAAAACGAATTTGATTCATATAAATGAAGTTTATCATATAAATGAAGTTTAAGCCTAAGATCTTAAATTATAATGGAAACCTCCATTATTTCAACATAAATTTAGCTGATATGAATGTCACTTGAACTAAATATCTCAATAAGAACTAAATGAGTAGTGATTTATATAAAGTTCAGAAACCCTGATGGTAATAGATCATGCTCACAAAGGCATCACTTCCATTACTTCAATCCAAGTTTGAAGAAAATTAAAACGTACCACTGAGCTAGTTTGCCGCAAGTGCAATCCAAAGGTACAGTAATCAATATCAAATAATTAAGGCATCACTTTCACTTTACTGTTACTCTCAAAAACCCTCCATGATAAGAAAATTGTTTTCATGCCAAAAACAGAAAAGGCCAATTAAAACATAATGGAAAATGCCCTAAAAGTTGTATCGAAGTATTAGCAAGCTTTACTCCATTGCATACGATTATAAAAATGTTTGAAAAAAAACTAGAAACTAGTCAATATTTATTGCTTGTAAAGGAAAGTGAAAGGAACAAAAAAATAAACAAGTGAATTGGTTAAATGTGACCACACTAGTTTCATAGGATGAGCAACACAATCACATAAAAAACAAGAATGAATTGATATGAGGGTGAAGAATAAAATCTACATCATTAAGCTGATTATAATGTCGGTTGTCAAAATGCTGATCCAGGAATTTTTCAGCACGAAAGCTTTTCCTGCAAAAGCCACAGCGCCACTCATTTGTATCCACATGGATTTTGTGTTGTTCTTGATCTCGAAACATATCGTTCTCCGGGTTCAGCCTACATTTTTTTGGAAGCTCATATTGTTCCTCATCCACAAAGGGTATCAAATACTGTTATGAGACAAGGAAATTATGAGTAAGGGCATAAAATATGATAAAAAGGAATAACTAAGACATCTCACCTCCGCAATGGCTTTCCAGGCTGCCCTACTCCTCTCTCTAGAGCAATGCACTTCATGTCTTTGTCCAGCTTCCTGCTTAAGACTTCTGATAACAGAAGATAAACAACATTACAAATTTAAATTGGAAAAACAAAGATTAAAACAAAATTTATGTTTATCACCATGCCATGCTTCCCCGTATAACTATAGAAAGTTTGAGATCAAGTACATTGCGTTGTTCTCCAAACATAAACCATTTTTTGAGATGTTCTTACGGATGTAAGTCCAGATTATACTTCAGAAAAAATTAACTTAATAAGATTTTTATTATAGCAAGTCAAAATCCTAAACATTTTAAAGCACGTATTAATAAAATCCAATATTACAAAGCAATTTCAGTTTGTAAAGTTCCTGGCAGAAACTCCAACCTGATTTACCTTTGAAAGATAGATCTTGTTTTTCAAGGGGAGACAAAACTAATAAAATCGAGGAAAGCTTAATCAAATAGTATTTCTTATGAATTCAAGTAATAGCAATAAAATTAGAAATATAAAAGGATAATTATAAAATTACAGCATAAACATGCATTAAAGTTAATTGATTGACAAATATTACACCAAAAAATCAATCTTAATAGCATGGATGGATATAGCACCTCGATGTGGCTGCTTGGTCAAACTCCTAGAGAAAAAAAGAACAAAAAGTGAGAAGTTTAGGGGGTTAGTAAAGACGTGTAAGTACTATCAAGCGATGCTTAAATATTAGCAAAAAACTGGCGCTTCAGGAAATGAATTGAACATTAAATTGAGAGTCAAGTAAACAGCAGGTTTCATTAAGTAGCAGTTCCACTCACATGAATACAAAAATATGCAGCTTCCATTGAAAAAAGATATATACAACAGAGGGAGTGTAAGAAAAGAAATAAAACATCGCATATCCCTCACAATGCTGGGAGAAAAAGATGAACTGTGCAATAGTTGATACAGTACTGGAAACAAGGTTGAAAAGAGCATTTTTCTTTTTCCTTTATTTTCTATTAACTTATGAAGTGAGAGCCAATGATTGCATCGGCTAGAGGTAAAATTTACTTTGCATGAAACTAATTGTTCATATAATTTTAAGTTGGGGTAGTATGTATGCTTCATGAAAATACACCATATGTAGATGAGAGATCCTAGCTCAGGTTCACAGAAAAAATGACCAGCAGAAACCAGACCTGAAAGAAGTCAAGAACTATGTCATTCCACATTTTTAAAAGGGCGGTTCCCTCTACAAATCAAAAGAGTTTTACTACTTAAGAAAGGGATAGCTATTCATGTCACAAATTTCAAACACATGTCAACACAACATGACACTGAAAAAGAGAGGCAAAGAGGAAGAATTCTTGAGAGGGGGAAGAGAGAAAACTACAGCAAGAACAATCACCACCTGTAAATCGTTTCCAGGATACAAAAATCAGCCTTGGCTGAAACTAAATTTCACTCCATTCTGTTCACCACCTCAAAATGAGACCAGCCATTCCTATTTATACAATCTAATAACAAAGGTAGAAAAGACTACAACTTAAAAAAAATAAAAGGGCCGAACAGAACCACAAGGTTCGGGCGGAACAAAGAGTAGGTTCAACCTAGGGGTGTAAACGAGTCGAGTTTTGACACTATCGAGCTCAGCTCGTCAGTCGGAATGCGAGCTCGAACTCGAGCTCGTCCCAATGTTAACGAGTTCGAGCCGGCTAGCGAGCCTGGGCAGTCCGGTCAGCCTTCGAGCGCGAGTCTTCCTACCGCGTGGAGCTCGATCCCATCGGAGAAGAATTTGAGCATTGAAATAAAATAGTATTTTTTATCAGTTGCAGCTTTTCACTTCTCCCAAAAATAACATTAAAATAATATTTTTATCAGCAGCTGTCAACAAAAGAAGGAAAGCAAGCTGGTAAGCTGCAGCTTTTCACTTCTCCCAAAAATAAAAGCAGTTGTAATCAGTTTTCATTGGTTATATATATATATATGGCATGCAAGCAAAAGGTTCAGCCAAAACTCCAGCACTACTGGACCAGAATTCGGTCCAATTCTAAGCTCATGCGGCATTCTCCTGGGTTGAAGGGTGAACCAAAACTACAACAATATTGAACCAGAATTCGGTCCAATTCTAAGCTCCTGCATCATTATCCAAGGTCGGGGGAGGCTTCAACATCAATAGAAGCAAATGCATCCTCGTAATAGAGAGATAAATCTAAAATATAGAAAGTCACAGACACTTATAGATTTCTCAGTAGTTCAAATTGATAGGAATTATTATTAATGTGCTTAATAATGTGGAAGGGACCATCCACCTTGGGTTTGAACTTGTCACGTGCTCCTAGTGGAAACCTTTCCTTGCGTAACCATATCCAAACTAGATCCCCATCTTTAAAATCCCTTTTGGATTTGTTAACCTGTTTTTGGGAGTTGACAAAGCCACTAGATGGCAAGAAAGCACTGCAGAACAAGTGGGTTTATAGGCTGAAAGAAGAACCTGATGGTAGCAAGCGCTATAAGGCCAGGCTTGTAGTTAAAGGTTTTCAGCAAAATGAATGAGTGAACTTACTAAAATTTTCTATCCAATGATAAAGATGACTGCAATCAGAGTTATATTGAGCATGGTCGCAATACACTAGATACTAAGTGTTTATCCTTAATCGAAAGTGTTCTCTCTTCATTAGGAAAGATAATTAACCATAAAGGCTTACGTCTATAGAAAACTTGAATTTAGATCTTAAAATCTTCATAAATGAGGGTGAAATCTCTAGGTAGTATATTATCTCTAACCAACCTATCTTCTGACAATTTAATCCCAAAACATAATCCATTAAAACTTTTTTGAATCCACACAGAGAGGTTGAGGTGCCAAAAATTTTGGATACCACAATGCCAACCCCCAACTAGATCCTAAATTATCAGTAACTTCATGCACTAAGTACGCCCTACTTTTCAACATTCTAGATTCATTAAAGTTGGGACTTAGCCTCTACAAAAACTTTTCCACTACTATTTCATCAAGAATAGAATGAATGAATGAAAATGAATAATAGAATTAAAGACGCTTTAAACAAAAACCAAGCTAGTGATTCATCCTTATTTAAATTTCCTTGAGCATTTTCAAGAATCCTCTAAGCACAATGCTGATAAATTTTCTTTCTTCCTAGAGTGATGCCAAAAAAGCATACTAAAATAAAATAAAATCCTCCTCATCTGCTTGCCTTGCATACATAAACTTCAACCCTAACATTAATCCAATGAACACGAATTAGGAAAAGTCAATATTTCATGAACCAAATGACAAAGAAACAGTACACTAACAGTGGTGTCAATGAGTTAGCAGAGGTAAGAAACTGAACAATAAACTTGCCGTTGCATACACTTACAACTGCTACGCAGTAGCACCAGGCGGCGCATACTTATACACCTCAAGCATATTATCTACATGGATCTTGCCTGATAAAAAAATGACGTGACTTTTTACACCTTAATCTATATTAATCAACAAATACATGCCATTAATATCATGTAAAGCTCTCACATGAGATCAGCCAGTCCCTTTTCTGCCCGGCTTTACCATTCGAGGCTGCCCTACGGGACTCGACATCAAAACCTAGCAAAAAAATCGTCTTTCCAGTTTTAATTTTGGATCAACATGAGATTTTCGAACTCAATACTATTAAAAAAAAAAAGAATTATTTTAGACAATGAAGCAGGCCAAATCCCCGTCATGTATCGAAATTCAATGAATTTATTTTCTTAAGCCCAGAAAATCCGCTTTGGAGTTTATGAACTAAATGCAAAACCATCAGAAGAAAACAGAAAAGTAAACTATGAATTGAAACATCGTAATTTTATCAAATTTAAGAGTGAGAAATGGCCAGTGAGTAGAAGCCAACCAACAGATCTTAAGATTGGTAAAATTAAAAAGGCAGATGAGTTACCGTAACAGCTCCGACTCCCTGGAGCGGCAGTAAGATGAAAATCTGGAGAAGTAAAATTGTCACCAACGTTGCCCCCCGCATCGTCGTGCTTGATTGGACAAACAATGACAATTGATGCCACCGGAGCGGAAAAGAAAAGCCTTTTTCTCGGATTTTTAAGTGATCATTTCGCGACCCAGTAGACTTTTCATATGCAAACTATTTTATGATTTTATTTTTTTTAATAGAAATGAGTTTTTATGATTTAAAGCCGCCAAAATTCACCACAAATTAATACCAACTTAGGAGCGTGGATCTCTACCTACAAACTTAGTGTAAAGTGAGCCGAGCCTCCTAGCAAACAGTTCATGAGCAGAGTTTATCGGGCCACCAGCTTGAGCTTGATGAAGCCCAGCTCATGCAGGGGCGGAACCAGCCCTAATTTTCAGGGGGGGCAAACTTATAAGACATATATGTCGGGAATTCAAGGGGGAAGTGTCTTCTGGCGGGGTTCGACCTGTTGGGGGCAATTATCTAAAGACCATAGTATTTTAAAAATTTTAGGGGGAGCAATTGCATGAAAACCCTTGTAATAAAGACTAAAAAATGAATAAAAAGGGTAAATTACCTAAAAAAATCATATAAAAAAATTTAAAAAAAAAAATTTGAGGGGTGGCAACTGCCCCCCCTGGAACCTAAATGGTTCCGCCCTTGAGCTCATGATCTCGCGAGCCGGGTCGAATCATTAATTAATATTTTGAAATATTTTGTATTTATTTATTAAATTTGAAAATCGGTTTAGGGTTTAGGGTTTAGGGTTTAGGGTTTAGGGTTTAGGGTATTCTTGTGGGCGGAAGTAGGAATGAGGAGGGTCCATACGATTCAGAGGTGGGCGTGTGTAGGAACTCGGAACGAGGTGGGTGCGCGTGGGAACTCGAAACGAGGCAAACGAAGCTGAGGAGAACGACGCAGAGGCGGACAACGCGAAGGCAGATGACGCGGAAGGCGGCCTAGACCGCCGAGGCTCATGAGCCAGCTCGAGCTCATTTACAGTAGGACGAGCTCAAGTTCGAGTTGGCTTTCTGAATGATGAGCCAAGCTCGATAAGATCACTACTCAACTCATTTACACGCGCGCAATATATATATATTTGGCCAATACAATTAAAAAAAAAATAGTATTTAAATTTAGATCGTTTACTGATTAAATGTGCTGACAATGTGATATTTTTGTATGTCCATCTTTTCTTTCACAGTCATACTTCTTTGATTTAGTCATATCTTCAAAATACTTTTATTATTCATCACAATTATAATTTTTCTTAATTCGAACTCAAACAAACTATATCATTGCCTGGTTATCAACTCATTTAAGTGGTAAAAATCTCAAAAGTTATTGCTAATATCTAAAATTTAAATTTTATATATATATATATATATATATATATAACACAAAATTATTATTTTAGCCATGCAAAAATTGCACCTTGACCGCTATGAGGAGCATAACAAAAATCTAACCCTCTATTTGGCAACTAAGGCTTTGTCTTGGATGTCTTCCTTAATGCTTCTTAAAATAATTTTTTAAATACAGATATTTTAATTTTTTTACTATAAAGCTACTTTAAAAACTATAAGAATGATATATTTAATAACATTGACAATGAATTGATTGTACAAATAATATGTAAGTTTTTTATTTTATTATATATTTTATCTTTTTATAATGAAACTAATGATTTAAAAAAAATTAAAACTATCAATGCCGATTTCATGCCCGGATGAAAAAAGTTTAGGAATTTTTGTTTACATCAATGATTTGTGCCCCACATCAAAAAATTTATGGCTCTGCCCATATATACAAAAAATTTCAAAGAATTTGAAATTATGTTTACAAGTGTTGAGCCAGCTATTAACAATCTTGGATGACTATGTCATTAATGTTACTATTGATATGATTGGTAATCAATTGCATAATTTAGATTTCTTGACCAATGATAGTATGTTGAATATTAGTTTAAAAACTTAATTGAATATGTTTAAACTTAAAATGTCCTAATTGAAAATTGTCTTATAATAGAGGACCTCTCGAAAAGAATTCACTGTGAGACTGAGTTTTCAGCAAGTAGGACGTTATAATTGACAATAGAGGAATATAATTGGCACATAAATTTATATTAATTGGACACAAACATGATTATGATGCAATCATATTTATGAACAAATTCAAAGTATTTATTTTGCACATTTAGAAATGTTATTAATAAGTACAATAGAAATTTTAGATTTATCACTTATCCACGATAGTTTTTGCTAGAAAATTTTTACAATAAAAAGATCTTTTGCAATCTTTAAGCGTCCATCCTTAAGAAATTCAAATCCGATGAGGGCATGAGGCAATGAGATATACCTCGGATTCTGAACATTCAGAGAAAACGGTGAAAACCAGTATAGAAATCTCTAACTCAACGAATATTAAGAAATTAAGGCTTCAATTGGGACAATTTTTTTATTGCTTTGTAAATTGTTGACCTCTATATGCGTATCATAGTTAATCGAGTGTACCGGAGGAGGCAACTAATGAATAGGTCACATGTAATGAATATCAAAACACTTTGATTGTATTCAAATCACTCAAATTACATCCGATTACAAAATAGATCACATTGATAAATTCAAAATGTCAAAAAAAAAAAAAAAAAAGAGCTGCTCGCATGAAAATCAACACAATCAAGTAATGAAAGTAATCGTTGGCAAGCGCCATGTCATCAAAAGACTACCTGAATGACTTCTGATCATCAAACAGATTGTGTCGATGTGATCGAGACATGAGATTTATCTAAAGGGAAACCTCTCGTACACAAACCTAGTGAGAACAGTCAAAATCGATGGCCTACGAACTGAACATTGCATGACATTGCCCAAACGTCACATGTTCATAAAACATACTTCATCATTGTGTTCGGAACATCGCAAATGCCCAGAAATGACTGTAAAATTGCTTGAGTCACCACACAATACAAAAATGTGAAATTGAAACAAGTTTCGAGACGATAATGCGCAAACTATCAAAAATGTATGTTCACGAAACGGACTTCACCATTTGCTCTAAACATTAAAATTACCCAAAGATTGACCTCTCAATATCAATTTGAGCAAAGGTAATCGAAATCGACGGCCTACAGACAAAATATTATGCGATGTTGCCCCAACTTTGCCCGCTCACAAAACTAATGTCATTGTTGCATCCAAAGCTACAAAAATACCCATAATTAACCGTGATAATTTCATGTTTATTGCACAATCAAAAATTAAAAATTTGCACAAGTTTAAGGGCAACGGCATACAAGATGAGACACATGAATAATGAGAAATTCCTAGACATTGATTCATATCTCTTTTTCTCTTATTTTGATTAAGTTTATTAGAGATACATATATTTAATTATATGTCTTTAATAATAACAAAATTTATATAAACTCATATTCTATTCTATCTACTGCCAATTCCTCTACCTATACCTGCCTCGGCTGCCTAAGTAGCCTCATATCCCTGCAAATCAGCATGCCTTATCCCAAGCTCATTAGTCGACCACTCCCTAAGTCCCTATTAAGGTTTTGTTTGGGACAGCTTTAGTACTGTTTTTTAAAATGGCTTTTTAGTACAAAGTTTTCAAATTCAAGAAGCTTTTGTGCTAGAAAGCTGTTTTAAAAAGCAAAAAAAAGCCGTCCCAAACGAAGCCTAAATCAGCCAGCTATAAAGAAAAAAAAAGCATATTCTATACACCACTCTCCCCTACCTACTCACATTTGCTCCTCTCCATTCACTCACCCAGCTCCCATTTTCCTCTCTGTTCGAGTACTACTGTCCCCCATACCTCTCCCCTCTACACAACTCTTCTCAACTAGAGAAATTATTAGGTGCAGAGTCCGGACGTAGCTCTATGTCCGGACTCCAATTAAATATTGACATGTGGAGAAGCAAGCAGATGTTCGATTGGATATTGTTAATTATTTATGTCTTCTTAGATGCTGACCTTTATATCTTGTCATCACGTCAAACCCAACTTGGTCCAACCCTAAAAATTTGAATTCGCAGGCAGGAGTTCAAAAGACTTGAAAGCTAAGTCATTTTACTTTTCATCGAGCATTTTTTTACTTCGCTTACTCTCTCTAGTTCGGTCAGAACATTCTTCTTCCAATCCTTCAGAATTTCAGAAGATCGCATTCCAGTTATTGTAAAAGTTTGCCTCATTTACAAACAGGTACAACTTGTTGCACCTTTGATGCGCTTTCATGGTACGCTTTCATGGTATCAGTTATTATATATATATATATATATATAAATTTCTTAAGTTTTCAAAACTAGGTTGCACATCTTTACAAAATCTTAAGTTTTCAAAATTAGGTTTCATATCAGTTTTTATATATGTTTTAATAGAGCTTCATTATCTACTGCGCTTTCGCTGAACTTTTGTTGCAATTTTACTATGCTTTAATTGTGTTTTTTTTTCTAAAAAAACAAAAGTACAACTAAAATGAATACAAAGAGAAGCACATCCAAAGAGAACTAAAAGCGCAGTAAAAGCACAGTTAAAGTGCAGTGAAAGCAAAAGAAAAGCCCAAAAAAGCACATTTAAAATGTAGGGAAAGTGAAGAAAAAGCCCAGCCAAAGCGCAGGAAAAACAAAGAAAAGCGTAGTTTTACACTGTTATTGCGCTTTCATTGTGCTTTAACTGCATAGTTAAAGCACAACAAAAGTTCAGCAAAATCGCTGGAAAAGTGCAATAAACTACACTTTTATTGAGCTTTTATTGTGATTTTGAGCATCCATCAGTTTTTGAAGTTCCAACCATTCCATCAAAATGTACCTTTGATATACGAGTTGCAGAAATTCTGAGATATCTCTAAAAAAAACTTCATTATCAAAGATCATTTGTTGAGATTCACATATGATGAGGTGGCTCTGTTTACATATTTTTTTTCCAAAAATAAATTTTTTTCGTGCTTCAATTTCTCCATTTACTTTCATCAGTTAATTTGACCAAATATTGCTCACAAGTTTGCCCAACAGAGAAGTTGAGATCATATGGCAGAATGTGCCACTTACAGGAGTTTTATCAACTGATATAAAAAGTGAAATGATAGAACTAAACAGATCAACTAACCAAGCAACAATGTTAAAGACTTATATAACATTTTTTATTTCTAATTTATTTGTCTCTCTCAATAAGCTCTCATAGAAGGCTCATCTCTGTAGCAAATAATTTATATGAGTTCTCATCTATTAATTGGGCTGGGAGTATTAGGAAATTTTTGGTTCATGAATTTAATAAAATTGCCACCAAATTTGCTAAGGATAAGCCACTTGATTACATAAATGATTTTCTATCTCTTTTATTGGTGCATCCTAAGTTCATTTAAATCTAATTCATATTATAAATTTTTTTTATAATTCATTATCTAATATTACTTTACTTGATCTTTTGCATATATGATTATTTGAGCACTTCTCCCTAAATACCCATAAGCTTGAAGGAATAATAGGTACGTATTGAGATTTTTATTGGAGTAAATTTTAGTTAAAATTTTGCTTTACATAGTAGCTAAAGTGTAGTGAAACCGCATAAAATGCAATAAATGCTCAGCAAAAGAGCAGTGAAAAAGCAGCAAAAGCGCAATCAGAGCGTAGTGAAAGCGCTTTCATTGCCCTTTTTATGCACTTTCATTGTGCTTTTACTGTCATTTCACTATGCTTTTTATTCGATTTTGCTCCATTAAGATCTGATATTACATTTGCTAACATTATTATAATTTCTATATAGATATTTCATGTCCTCCAGGGTGTTACTCAAGAGGAAGCAAAAAATATTAGGGAAATTTACATACATACCACTTTATACCATCCTATTTACATATCTAACATCCAAAACTTTAATATTACGCATATACCACTCTATATTATTTTAATATCAAATATGCCACTCATATTTCCTTCCTAGCACTCATATATTTCATTTCTACCACTCATATTTGACATGAAAATGAACTAAGGGTGGTATGTATGTAATATTAAAGTTTTAAGTGTTAAATATATAATTAGAGTATTATAGTGTGGTATGTATGTAAATCTCCCAAAATATTAATGCTGGTATAATAGCTAAAATAACTGGTGAGCTATGAGGCTCAATAAATTAACAAATTATATAATAATTATAAAACTCACCATATTGAAATCATAAATTAATCAAACTTTTTATTATTTATAAAATAACATAAAATCATATTTAGCATTAACATTTACTTCATTTGAAATTATACTGGATATCAATATTAGTTTTTAGAAATTTTGGTTAAAGTTTCATAAGAATGTTCAATGGAGACCAAGTAAACCTGGTATTATCACCATTGAATAATATAGATGTCCATTTTGCCTCTGTAGGAATTCATTTTGCCCCACCTGCTATGCCTGTATTATATTTTTGGGATCCCTTTTGCCCAACCTATAATGCAGGTGTCATACATGGGAACCCTTTTACGTCACCTGCAGTTATAAGTTTTACATCATTTTATAATCAAACTTTACTAAATTAATATTCAATAAACTTTACATATTCATAGTTCATACTTGTATTATAGGGTTGCAGATTTTCAATACAGCATTATTGTTATACTATTTGTATGAAGATCATGAGTATGTAGTATGTACATAATAGTATTTCTTTTCAAAATGTTCTCAACTAGAAAAATCTTAAAACATTCATACTACATTTTATTCTAAATATGATTCACTCAAATTTGCAAATGATTGCTCATACATGAATACTTAACTATAAATATATATTAATAACATCATTATCTTTTTTATAACTTTTTCCATAAATTCTCATTAAATGTTAATGTTCGTGTCTAAAAAAATAACAGTATATACTTTTAAATTAAATTTCTATTACTTCATTCCTTGAAGAGCTGTCTCTTCAATTCCTCCATCACATACTCTTTTTCCTTTTGTAAGTAACCTCCTTTTCGCATATAATAGATGAAACATCTTCCTTCTTTCTTCTTCTACTTCTTACTCCACCAAGAATCACTTGATACTCTACAGAATCCACGCTCTAAATTTTTTCTTTTCCATCGAATAATAACTTCCTCCAGTCAAACTCTTGCTTTCACGTTGTTCTTCAGAACTAGCCGCAGCCTGCTTGCGCCCCTACAAAAACCACAGCTCAACACCTATGATGCACTGACACTTCTCCTCGAAAAAGCGTGCAGTGTCCAACACCGTACCGACACGACACTCCTCCGACACTTGTCGAACACGCCAAAAACATGTCGGATTAAAAAATATTAAATATAAATTGGACACGCGTATCTTAAATATAATTTATTGTATTTGGCGGGATTTAAACTAAATTTCTTATTTCCTATCCACAACACCAAATCAACATTTGCACTTTATAACCAATCATCGAATATTCTTATTTTCATTTCTTTTTGGCAAAGAAGGTGTTTTTATCTTCTCTCTTGGTGACTGATAAACGACATCGATCCTAACTCTCAACATCCTAATACTAATCATTTTAAGCACAAATTCTAGTTAAATGACTTATTATTTTCAAATTATTTTTAAAATTATACTTATTTAATTTGTATACACTATTTTTAAAATATAAAAACTATAATACCGTGTCTAGCTCGTGTCCGTGCCATATATTTTCAATAACTTACGTGTCCGTGTACGTGCATCATAGCTCCACACTAACTAATGGAAAGGCCATAAACGGCCATGCTTTAACAGTCAGCCTAACATCTTCCTAGCCGTTGATTTCATCGTCAACAGTTTCATGGTTCACATAGGCTTCAGTTGTTTACGCGAAAACCCACTGGAAAAAAGAGGCTCCACAATGCAACTGCCACTACAACTTACAGCCATTGAAAGCACCTTTTGGGAAATAAGAAATAATTAACTTAATGTAATATATTATTTATTACTAATACTAATGTTTTCTTAATAGTACTTCAAATGTATTATTTAAACTGATTTAAACTTTAAAAGAATTATAATATGTTGAAATTTTTATTACCTAAATTTTCTGGGTATTACATAGCTACGAATGTGTTCTTGGAAATTTGCAAAGGTGAAGACTCCAGTGTGACATCCAATACATACACTTAGAGATCTGCAGGGTCATCTAGTATGCAACAAACATGAGTCACTCTACACACATACCACATTTGTTGTGGGACATTTATAGACCTCTAATTATATGTGCCATAGTCAATCGAGTGTACCAAAGAATGCGACTAACGAATGAGTTACAAGTAATGAATATCAAAACGCTTTGAACATAGTCAAATAACTCAAACTTCATCCGATTAAAAAAAAGGGTTCGCATTAATGAATTCAAAATGTCGAATTTGCCAAATAAGAGCTGCTCACATGTAATTCAGCAAGATCAAGCAATGAAAGTAACCATTGGTGAGTGCCACATAGTCAAAAAAATTACATGAATGGCTTCTAGTTATCAAACGGATTGCGTCGATATGATCGGAACAAAAAATTAATCTAATGGGAGACCTCTCGTACATCAATTGAGTGAGGGCAGCCAAAATTGATGGCCTATGTACGAAACATTGTGCTATGTTGCCCAAACATCACATGTTCACAAAATATACTTCATCATTACATTTGGAAAGTCAAGAATACCCAAAAATAGCTTATAATATTTCTCAGGTCACCACACAATGTAAAAAAGGTGAAATTGACATAAGTTTCGAGGCGACGATGCATAAAACTATCCAAAACGTCTGTTCACAGATGGACTTCACCGTTTTGTTCGAAACATAAAGCTGTTGTAAAGAAAGAAATTTTTAAAAGTTGTTATAGAAAGGAGTTTCTAGTATAAACTTTATTTAAGTAGCAAAAAAAAATAATTGTCAAATAGAAATTTTAATTATGATCTGAAAAAAAAAAGTAATAAAATTGTAACAAATGAAACCTAAGATGTTGATTTTTTTCCTAGCTTTCTCAGGAATGTTTTTGCAATCAGAAAGTTGTAAATTGATAACTTCTTGGCCTTCATCCTGAGAAAGCCTCCAACAAGCCTTCCTTTGAAACCACAAATTAATCCAACTCCCAAATTGGTCGTGGACGACTTTCTTGTACAAATCTTCTCTAATACCTTTCCTGCCTGGGTGCACTTTGCAGGTCAAGTCAGGGAGTGAAATTGCTTGTACTTTTAGCAAAATTGAAACCATTGGACATCAACTTACTAGAAGACGATATTCAAATGATAAGTTACGTAGGACAAAGAATATACCACAAAATAAAGGAGATGCTAACCCATCATTGATACTCTCCACAACTACGAACAAGGAGATAAATTGTGCTGTAACCAGCTAGAAGTTTCCATTAAGGCAGCATCAGTCTCTGACAGTGGCGCTGCAGTTCAACATAAATCGTTGAGAGCCTGATAGCATCTATCAATAATAGATGGTAAAGAAGAGAGAGCAAAGCAATTGAACATATGATGGACTGTACATACCAAGCAAGTCTTCATAGCAATCATCAAAGACTGGCTCATCCTTCAAATATGAAGGTGAGAAAACTTGTTCAAGAGATTCTTCACTGTCACGAGAAGAAAAAAGTAGGTCGACCACACCCTCTTTGTGAGGAAAATCACTCGAAAGGGGAATAAAGAAATGCTCTAAACCAGCATTGCTGGTTTTATCCCCTGCGTTCTCAGAATTATTTGATGGCCCTGACAGTGCGGCCTCACGAACAGCACGCCTAAGATTCTGAGCATATATATCACTATCTGCAAATTGTGAAGAATGTAAAATTGTATAAACTGTTAAATTGGTTTTGAGAATAAAAGAACCATATAGGAAGGTACCAACCTTCTTCGGTAAAATTGGCATGATCACCCCCAAAAAGTGGGGCAATTGAATTATCCTTAGGCAAATTTTTTGATTTCTCAGGATGAGAAAATACAGAATGCTGCTTTCCCCCGTGAGTAGTCTTCCGTGACCAATTTGGAGTTATATTAAACAAATTAGGTAGTTTCAAAACAGGCTTGTCAGAGGCTTTTAAGAAGACGCTGGAAGTCATCTCAACAATTGCACCTGTGGTATTCTCCTATCGTAAAATACAAATTAGGTAGTTTCAAAAATTCAATATCGAAGTGCAAGATCACAGTAAATATGTTTATCTAGAGTAGAAGTGAGAACTGCGTACTGGAGTTCTTCCACTGCATTGGGTGTCAACAGGTGAGATGGATTGTTCTCTGTTTTCTTCAAGGGAAATTGGAGATATGGTATTCACTTCTTCTGTGAGCTCCAATATAGACTTCTGCATTGTTGGAACTGCTGCTTTCAGTTGATTCACAAGTCCCTACATTTCGATACAGGTAATGAAACATGAAGAGAAAAGAAGAAATGGTTTTTTGCCAGTTAAGTAGGATGAAAATATTCCAAAAAGAAATGGGTTCGAATCCAAGGGATTTTGCATTTGCTGTGGGCTTTACTGTTATACATTTTTGTTAATGGGCTAGTGGGGGCCATGCCCCCAAGACCCCCACTATGGCTCCGCCACTAGTTCCGTCTAGCAATATCACATAAAAGAGTCAAAATAAAGCCTCTACCACATCAAGAAAGATATTGATGAGGACATTGACAGACGCTACCGACATGTTTATCACCGGCGAAACCGCAGATCGACGGCCACGATTCAGCGCCTCTACTTTTGATGTCATGATGTATTTTTTTTAGTTTATTTTATTTTATTTGCAGTCTTTCCAATTTTACCCCTGTGGGGAGTTACTTTATTATTGTAGCCCAGAGGGCAATTTCGTACTTTCTCTTTTTATGAGTTGAGACCTATATATAGTGGTCTCATATGTTGTATTGAGGTTAATGAATATTTGAAAGAAGATTTATGTTTTGTTTATACTTTTCTAGCATGAGTGCTTGAGAGGGAAGAGAGCTCAAGGGGAGCAAATCGCAAGACCCACCAGTCGTTGGAAGAGTCCTCGACTCGTGGCTTTCTATCCTATCGTCTTCTTCATCACTTCCTCCCGCACTCCCACCCGCCGGCTTCCATAATCCCACCATCATCCGATCCCTAGCTCCCCCATTTAAAATCCACCAACCAACCAAATCCCCACCCGCCCCTTCCCTTACAGCCGCCCCTCCCCTCCTCTCATTGTCCTTGCATGATGATGATTTCAATCATCATGACGCTTTCCTAGTTGAACCAAGTGTTAGAGGGAAATCGGATTCAATTTGAAATTCAAAATTTTAATTTCAAAATCTTTACAATTTTAGAATTCCTATTTAGGTAAGTTTATTTCATGATTCCAATTTAAATTAAAATAGATTGGATTCTTGAATAACTTTCCTAAACCACAATTCATCTTTGGAAACTCCCCAAATCCCCTCCCTCTCTCTCTCCTAGCCGCCGGCCCCATACTTGGGCTCCTCCCATTATTGCCCCAATCAATGCAATTGATGGCCACTTGATTTGAACTCAAATTTCAAATTAACTTCACCCAAAGCCATTCAAAATCCTGACATTAATTTCAGGTTTTTGAAATAACTCCATCCTCCCTCTATGAAACCGCTGGCCTATCCCCTCTTTTTGCTCCCCCATTAATTACCCAATCAATGTCATAATTCCTTGGATTTGAAATTCAAAATCCAAGTCAATTTCCCCCCAATTTTAATCAAAACTGAAATTAACTTTCAGATTTTGATTAATCTCATACACTCTCCTTTAAACCTAATTTCTCCAATCCCAAACTCTCTCCCCCTTGCACCCGCCGGCTTCACCCTCTCCCCTTGGGAATCCCACCGGCCCCTCCTCTTTTCTCTCCTTCTCTTGTGCATTGAGAAGCCTAGAGACGAAGAGGACGACACCTCTCCTATTCTCTTCAATGTTGAATGGCGGATCCCGAGCTTGAATGGGGTCTTGTATTCAACGCCGACGGAAGCATCAACATTCTAAGATCTCTGTGCTTTGACGTGGGATTTGAAGACGACACCACCGTTGAAGAATATTTGGAGCGAGTCGTCCCGATTCTTGCAAGCATCATCGACCGACGATTTTCAAGCTACGATTAGAGCCTCGCCGGCCACCCACTACATCCATCTCCACCGGCTACCTCTCCACCAACAAAGTTCTTCGGCGCCATCTTTGTAGTGGTAATATCTTTCATTATTTGGCTCATCTTTCTCCGCTAAAGCCTACAAGTAGTTGAGTGAGAAGGCCTTGAGGTGAACCTCTCATTGTTAAGTGTTGGATTATGTTACTTGTACTTTGCATTTAATATTACCTTAGTTTTTTGAAAGGATAGTCTTGGTTATTCTCTATTGCAAATCTTTGGCCCAAGTAAGTTAAATTTTTCAAATTCTTAACTCTCTCTTGCATGATTGAAATAAATTTATAAGGGCAAAACTTAAAACAATTTTCTTTCTCATTTCTAAACGTAACTCCTAGTAGTTTCACATCAGATATATATACGGAGAATATTAAAAAAAAAAGGGATGTTCATGAGGAAGAGAATTTTTTTGGGAGAGAAAGAAGAAACAGAAGAAAATTTCAGGGAGGGAGTCAAGGAGAGTATATATATATATATGAATGTGTGCATTCTCTTCGCAATTTTCATTTCATGTGTTAATTTTGTTTGTGCGCCCACATTCATGTGGTGCAAGACGAGATTTATCTAAATCATTTTGACATTCTGAATGAATCATGACAGTTCATTTGGCAAAATGAAAGAAAGATGGGTGTTGTTATTATTTAAATAGGACATTTCACATCAATTTTTGTGAAATTGTGTCTGCATGTATTTGTCATTGCATTATGAATCACATATGTAGGTTGACAAAATTATCTGTGATTGGTTTTTAAGCACAATTGAGATATTATCAAGTCTAGTCCACTGAACTCAAACCATAAAAAAGAAAAAAAAAATCAAGTCTAGTCCAATCTAGTTTTACTTTTTGTGGTGTGAAATGACTGAATTTATATTCGTGCATATAGTTATCGCCAAAATTTAACTTCTAAATTTTGGTGACTTCAATATTATCGTTTGGAAAGAATCAAATATGCTTTTTGATTTTACATTAAACGATGATAATCTTTGCATAAATTTAAAGTTGAGAAAGTGCGATTGTGATCTTTTGTGCGCATCTTGTCATATGTTTGCATTAATGAACCTCAGATCCTGACATCCTACATCACTCAATGACAAGAAGACTAATCTATGCAGAAATACAAAAAGTTACCAAACTGTAGGATGAGTCTTCTTGATGAAGGGCAGGAGGATGATGCATCTAACACCATCCAATGGCTACAGTTCCAATGAACAGCTAGTGCATGGGAAGCTGGTCCCGACAGCTAGTAAATCCAAGCAATAAATCCACTTCCCCTTCACTACAAATGGTGGCCTATTTGGGCTTATAAGGAATTGTTTTGGGAATGTTTAGCCACTGATTGTACTGGCATAATTTAAGCTGAATGGTTTCTTAAGTGTGATTCCTCTGTCGAGAGTGAGTGAGTTCCCTTAGTTTGGGTGAGTGTGTCTCCAATCTTCTTATGAAACCGTCTTATTCCTAGCACTAAAAATAATCTGCTTTTTTCTTCTCTTCTTCAAATTCTTGCTACATCATCCATGCATATCTAGTATAATTGTTTCGAAATACCTTGGAGCTTCCATCACTTCTTACGTACATTGGTTCTGATTCTCATTTCACAATTAGGAACTCGTTTTCTCTATGTCAACAATAGGTTGAAAAACACAATTTTCTTGCACAGGCTAGACTCGAATAAAGCAACCCCTGAGATCAATTCTCATAACACGGTAAGAAAAATAAAATTAAGTGACAATTACATAAGGATTCAACAAATGTGGTTTCTAGGGAGAGCTTGATACATAATTTTATAATGAGAATTTGCCTGCCTAAAATCACAATATTGACATCTTTAGTCAATTACATTTAAAATTAACGAAAATATACAAGGAAACATTAAGAGACGACCAATGAGGAAACACACAAAAGTAAAAGTTCAAGACAAACAACTCCGCAAGATTAGAATCCCAGCAGAAACAGCAAAGACCAAGACAGGGAACCTTAATTCCCACAAGGGTTCTAAAAATAAAAAAACTGAACCAAACACAAAAACAATTACGTTTAATAACTACTATTTGTTAAGCACTGCTTCCATTTATTTGTGAGAAAGCTACCTGAAATATCATTAATGCATTAACAGAGTTATTATTGCCTCTCAAGTAATTAGATATGCTATTCAATAGTCAAAAAACAATAGAAGCATTGTGCTAGTTATATGAGAAATTCTTCTTCACCTCTAGGCTTACTAAATGCTGTTGATGTTCAGCAAGTGTTGCCGCCAAATATTCCGTATGACCATCAGAACCATTTTCAGACATCAAGTGAAGTAGTGCTGGGTCCTCCCGATCATTAGCTTTGGCCTAAATATATAAAATTCTTGATGTAAATAATTAATGAAGCTGGTACAAATATAATAATAATTGTTGGGTCAAACTACATGGCTAAAATAACATTCTCATTTGCCTAAATCAACACAAAAAATACAAACATGAGGTCCGTCAAACCTACAGATATAAACTTTTTATGGAAATAATTAACGAGCTAAAGTTACTGCAAAATAATCTTAACAAGAATTATTTGCACCGACCAAAGAGTATATGCTTGTTTAAATAAATAAAAAATTTAGCAATATTGCAATGCCTCAAAAGAACGACTCACTAATTTGCTCTAATTTGCCATCCTAGCTTTCTTACAAGCTAAAAGTCCTTACGTAAGTGTTGAGGTTTATAAAAATTATTATTAGACATCTATTAACACCCACGAAGAGATTAAAATTGATAGTATATAATCACAGACAGATAACGCTTGCAGCGATCATCAAACATGAATGATAAAGGCTATGCAATTACCTGAATTGAAGGAGATAAATTATAATGAACATGCTGCTTAAATGCCAAATAATAAAAAAGTATGTACTTGTACTTTAATGCTAATGACAGCCATCTTTCTCTCAAGGAATTTTGAGCTCTAAAAAATCTCCGAAGGCTTCATATTCAAGTGATTTCATGTTGACTTTCATCTTAAATATTAGATAAGCATTACCCGTAGATTTTGCACTTTTGTACAAACTCCAATGGTTAATTGCTTCTCTCGATTGCAAGAGAGAACTTTCTATTAAAGATAGTCTATAGGCTCTAGTATGATTTGCTTTTAGTGGCAAAAATATGGATCATAAAAAAAAAGATATATTGTCATATGTCAAAGTAGATGGTAGGAGAATGATGGCAAACCCAATCATCATCCCATTATTTTATTATCTTGAGCAGCAATGGACCTTGATCTACTTTATCAAAGAAGGTAGCCGACTCAATCTAACCTAGCCAACTCATAGGCTTAGTAAAATTAAAAAATAAAAAAAAAAAACAAAAAAAAAACTCATAGGCTTAGTCCTTACAAATAGGGCTGTCAAAACCGGGTCGGGTTCGGGTCCAACTCAAAATTGACCCGACACTGTTCAACCCGACCCGTTTTTGCAAACGGGTCGGTTTTCCAAACCCGAACCCGACCCGCTTCGGGTCCGGCTCAACCCGAACCCAACCCGATTCGGGTATATTTTATTAAATTTTTTATTTAATTTAATTTATTTAAATCTAAACCAAATTAAGGTAAGATTTACTTCAATTAATTTAAAATAAATCAAGATTAATTTAATTTGGGCAATAATGTTTATAATTTTTTGAAATATCATTTACTTAGTTCATAATTTTTTTTTAAAACCCTCCTAAATTAATTAAAAACGGATCAAACCGGGTTGATTTCGGGTTTCCGGGTCAACCAGAACCCGACCCGGTTCGGGTTTGGGTTGACCCGAACCCGAAATTTTTGGGTCGGGTTCGGGTCGGGTCAAATATTGACACCCCTAATTACAAATATTCAGGATTGAGATGCAATTGTAATATAATGGCGTAATCGCGATAAGGCCCTATCCTTAATGGTGCCAAATTTTATAGTGTGGTCATATGAATACATTTGATATGAGGTTAGTTGTTTGTTAATAATGGATTGATGGGTGGTTACTTTGAGTGTATAGCGGCTTGTTATTGCTTGACTTTATTTGTTTTTTTATTATTTAATATAAATCTTTTTAAAAAATAGAGAACTCCAGGGTTATGATTTATAATAGTTGTGTCATCACGGGAGAGTAACGGTATCCTCGTATGGAGTGGAAAACTCAACAATTCCTCCTAATCCATTGTTGTAAAGTGTATTTTTCTGTGGTTGGTAGCTTAACTTTGATGATGACCCATCTAGTTATGATTGACCCAACTATTGGGAAAAGAGACCAAAATTATATAAATTTGAGAGGGTATTTGTGACAAAATTCTCTTTGGTTATGATTAGTAATGATCATACATGTCATACGAGAGAAGGCTCAATATGTTATCTTTATGATCAAGAGCTTTATTTAGATAATTGAATCCTCCGATTATGACATTTTGTAACCAGGCCCATCATTTTTGTAGGAATCTCATAATTGAAATTGAGATACTATTAGTTTGATATCTTTAGAGTGATTATATACCTCTTGAACTGTTAAATCTAAGCCATCCCTCGGCATTTTGATCCCACGGCTAGGATGGGAATCCATGGGAGGCTCACCTGGATTGCGTCGATCTCCGCGGCCCCTTGGCATTTTAATCCCACGGCTAGGATGGCTATCCATAGAAGGCTCACCTGGATTGTGTCGATATCCTTCCATATTTAGGTGGCTGATTCAGGAAGGATTATATTCAAGCAATTATGTATGATTTTGTAATTATTTGTTTCTTTATTAAGATATCTTGTATAGATCTATACATATGGACATGTTTGAGCAATAAAATTAAACATTTTCCCTCTCCAATTATCTGAATTTAACATGGAATCAGAGCATAAAGAGATATAATCCATGATTTCCACCATCGACCTTCAATGTCGTTCTTGTTTAGAGGCTAAAGAGAAGGAAGTAAAGAGGAGCAAGCGGCCTTTATTGCTGGTCTTCTCTTGCTATTGCTACTACTCTTATAGCCAACACAGCCTTCATTGATGCCCTACACCTTGTTGGCTTGATTAATATAATCTTCATTGCTATCATTTGCCACCAAAATGTCTGAAGCTAATTCCTCCCAAAGCTCCATGGACGACTCTATGGTGCACCAAGGAAGAGAAAATCTTCAGAATATGCAACCTTCCTATCGCTTAAATGGGAATAATTACTTGAAGTGCTATCAATTTGTGAAGACCTACTTGAAAGGGAAATAAAAGATGAATCACCTCCTTTGGGTAGGACTAAAAGGAGAAGATCCTAATTTTTGGGCAAGAGATAAAACAGACTCCATGATCATATCTTGGTTGTGGAATTCCATGACACCAGAAATTAATGATACTTTCATGCAATTTAATATCATGTATATGACACAAAAGGCGGTAAAGGGACAAGCATTAGCAGATTTTCTTGCCACACATCATATTCCTGCAGATTCCCTGCTCAACGACGTTTTGCCCAATGATTCGAGGAAGATGAGAAACTATAATTTTGGGAGATGTATTTCAACGATGCATTGTCGATTAAGCATGACCAACCTCCAAATCTAGCAAAAGCTCGAACTGGCATCAGTCTCCATTTCATATCGCTGAGGGAGCTATAATGAGATTTTCGTTCAGTTTAACTGAGCCTCGAACCAATAATAAAGCCGAGTACAAAGCTCTAATAGCAGGACTGGAGATTGCAATCAATGTTACAATCCAAAATCTCCAAATCTCTGACAATTCTCAACTTGTGACAAATCAAGTTTTGGACTTTTACAAGATTTGTAAACTTGAATTGGTCAACTACTACCGACAAACTCTCAAGCTTCTTAAACAAGTGTCAAATATTAAAATAGCTCGAGTTCCTCGAGGTCAGAACAACAGAGCAGATTGTCTGGCCAAATTAGCCAAGGATGTGGCGAATACGCACAAAGAAGACCCCATACTGATTGGAGTTTATAGCCGTTGGGTCTTAGAGCCGGTAATCTTACAATTCCCGTAGGCAAAGAGAATACTAAATTTAAGCCAACAGGATGCAACCCCGGTTGATACTCAACCACCCCAACATATCACTATTGAAAATCAACCAGAAGAACATCATATGGTCAAGAGACATAAAAGTATAAAACCAGTAGATGCTTAGAGTCATGATTATATTGCTTAAATATTGAGGAAGGAGAGGATTGGAGGCAACCATTCATCAACTGTTTTGGAGGCAACCATTCATCGACTGTTTCAAAGAAAATAAACTCCAAATAGACAAATCTCTAGCTATGCAAATCCGAAAGAGAGCGTTGCGATACGCGTTCATCAACGACACATTATATCGATGAGCTTTTGATCAAATGTGGCTAAGATGCCTAGGGACCAAGAAAGCTGATAGAGTGGTAGTAGAAGTCCATAAAGGACTTTGTGGTGCACATCAGTTAGGTCCCAAAATAACTGCTAAAACCAAGAGGATGAATTAGTATTGGCCAATAATAGTTATAGATTGTATTGACTACACCAAGAGGTGCTACGAGTGTCAAATTCATGGTGATGTTATACATCAGCCGCCAAATCCTCTGCACCAAATAGTGGCAATCAAAGATGGCAGAGGCACTATGAGCGTATCGTACTAATTATAAGAAGCCGACCAAAGCCACTCCATACGCACTGGTGTTTGAGATTGAAGTTGTGTTACCCTTAGAGATCGAGCTACCATCACTTTGTGTAGTTATTCAACACGATTTGACCCACGAGTAAAACGATTGATTAAGAATGAAAGAGCTCAATGCACTCGACGAAGTCAGACTACAAGTTCTACAGAACTTAGAAATCTATCGGGCGAGGATGGCAAAGTCTTTTGAGCGAATGGTGCGTCATCGATCATTTCAAGAAGGGGAATTGGTCCTGGTGCTAAGAAGGCCAATCATCCCACACCAAAAAATTGGTGTAAAATTTGTGTCCAACTGGGAATGCCCCTTTGTCATCGAGAATGTGTATCAAGGAAGAGCTTATCAGTTGATCGATATGGATGGTCAGAGGCCCATGCCGCCGATCAACGATCGATACCTGAAGAAATACTATATATGAGAATGATTATATGTTAAACCATCATGTACTTTATATGTATTATCTAACATAAGTATATCTTATACTTGAAACTCTCTTGTAGTACAAGAATGCATTTCAAAGAGCCCATTAAAATCCCCACAAGATTGAGTGCATTTTAAATATTTATTCGTGTCGACATTACGCCACTTGTCCGAAATTCTCAAATAAATATTTAAAATCTCGAAATACAAAGCCTATCCAAAATCTCCCACATGACATGGGATATTTTAAATATTTATTTGGGTCGACATCGTGCTACATGCCGAGATCCCCAAATAAATATTTAAAATCACCAACTGTAAATGTTCGTTCGTATAGAAGGATACAACAACTTCTCTTTCAAATTATATGCAGGTGATCTTCCGAAAGTTCAGGACACAACATTCTCCAGCGCACCAAGATTTTAAAAGCCAAAAAAGAGACTTTTGTGATTACCTACTCAAACAAGTCGAGTTGGAACATCTTGAAGTCTTTCAATATCCTGAAGCTTAAAGTTCGAATTGGTGTAAATTGTCGGATCCAACAAGCCCAAATATGATCGGATTGCTGGCAGCTCTGTCTACTCAACACGCTATAAGAAGGCCGTAGTAGTGGAACTTCCACTTTGTCAACCCGTCAGTAGGGATTGTAAGAAATACGAAGGCTAATTTGACTTGGTAAGTTCATGTAGCTGTAGTCCAGAAGATTCTCCTAATTGACCAGAGAATTAAAGTTCTAGTGGAAAGGAATCGCAAACAACTACCATATGTGCGTAGGCTCTAAATATTCAACCACTAAGGATGACTCAAAATCTACCAACTTCAGTAGATTCAGCATCAGGGAGCATGCTTCCCATAGCTCCAATCTGAAGTCTGAATGAGTATAAGAGGTCGGATCCAATAAGCCAAAATATGGTTGAATCACTAGCAGCTTCATCTACTCAACACGGCATAAGAAATGCCACAATAAAGGAACCCCAATTTCAAAAACCAGATGACGAAAGAGCTTTCAAATCTTAGCTCACCTAATCTGATGAACTTAAGTGACTCGGATTGAAGCCTCTCAACTGGTTAAGGATCAAGATACTATCTATATTTGATACTATAACTAAATTCGAAATCTGCAAATTCTTCAACAAGTCCGCGAAAGCACAAACCAAAGGACCGAAGAAAATATCCTATAGTTTATATAAATCTTAAAGTTGAACATAGAGGATTTTGTCATCAACAAGTCCGTTATGCAAAAAACTCTGGACTAATGACTTTACGCCACCGACCTAATGCAAACCTAAAGGGTTTTGGTCATAGACATCTACTCTTTCATCAAACCTGCCAAAGCAAAAGCATAGGGATGAAGATGCAAAAATATCCTGACAAATCGATAATGAAAAATCAGGTAATCCTTCGCCAATGCCTGCCGCATGAAGCACAGGGCAGAAGAAACCACAACCCCAAAACTCCACTTTCTTATTTTGTTATGTATTTACACAATGCATTTTCATATTTTGGATGCATTTATATTTCATGTGAATTTGAATGTTGCATTGTGAAGCAAGCACATAATTTTAAAATAATTGAATTTTATTGCTTGCACAAATATTTGGTCAGTAGGATGTGTGAAAAATTTTAGTTTTAAATTTTAGTAAAGTTTCTGTTCACTTGTGTGTGCATGTTGTAGATCTAATGGCATGGAAGACGAGTTGAAATCTCACTGTGCTTTTCATAATGTCATATTTTTTGTCTTCATATGATTGTAATTTGTATGATGGGCCCCGTGAGGAATCATTCCTCCTATGAATAGGAGGGAGTGTTGTAGTTCATTCAATTCATTTGTGTGCAAGGTTCTAGATTGTTCAAAAGAGCTCTAGAAGTGTGACTAGTTGGTTTCGTTAATGCCTGTAAGCAATCCACCAAGTTCATCATAATTTTCCTGTAAATCCTTTCAAGTTCAGTTCAATGTTCAATCTTGCTTATATGATGAAATTGCCTAAATTTTGCGCTTAACTTCCATTTTGTTCTTTCATTTTTATTGTATCCTTAAATTATAATTTTGTATGGAATGATTCTAATAGTGATAAACTTCCTTCCTCTTTTTATTTTGCCAAAGGAAGATAGTGATAGAATTGTAAACTCTTAGTGGTAGTTTTTGCTCTTTTTGTTTATATAATGAAATATGCAAGTTCAAAAAAAAAATTTGCACACAATACGAGATTAAATCTTGATGCCTTCAATCCATTGCATCGAAAAAAGATTGAACTCAATCTCAACAGCTAATACTGACATTTTGGAACAGAGGCTAGCTTGGCATAAAAAAAATCAGGGAAATGGTACATCACAGAAAGTACTATTTGTGCAACCCTTCGCAGCAATAATTTTAGTTGAAAGGGTCAAAAATATATTACTGATGACTAAAATTGCAAACTAAAAGAAGAAATTGAATCAGTTAAAGTGAATTTGTTATGAAAACAAATCCGCCAAGCACAGAAAATAAAATACTGCAGAATGATATTTTCTATCAATACAGGATCACATATTTTTGGAAGGAAAATAATGATAAAACAAAATCAAAACTGTAAAAAAGTCTGCCTTCAATGCAATCCAAAGTAATTACTAATCTGGTTTACAGAATGGAAATGAATTAGCATGCATAGAAAACATAATACCATATGCAGGGATTGCTTATGAATATGTTGTAATGCATGAGTCCACCGTCTAAGAATTTCAGCTATATCAACAGTATGGTTAACTCGTCCACCCCTATCATCTGTTCTAGAAAGAATATGAGAGTTCCCCTGGAACTGAGGTGAATCAATTTGTTCAAAGGTATCAATAGATGACAGCATTTTGCTTGTGTGAGTAGCCAGCAAATCTGAATGTGGAACATGGCTACTTAAATCCATGGCAGCAGCCAATGATGTTCCAGAGATTCGATACCTAATAATAAAGCGTGTATGCCAAAAAATAAAACAGAGAAAAGTACATACATGATTTTCAGAAAGAGTAAAAAATTCACCTATGTTCACGATATGCAATCAGATCTTCAATAGGACCTGAAGCAAGAACTTCATGTTGGCCTGCAGAAAACATACTAGTATAACCATATAATTATTCCAAATAAAAAAATTTAAGTAAAGCCACTCCTATTTGATTTCATAACAGAAACTTACAGCTTATAACAATGCATATGAATAAGCAGAAACATCTAAACAATTCAAGAAAAAATTATTGATATAAATTGAGATTACACGGCTAAAACCCATGGGTAAGGAGAGTAAATTAAGCACATTTTTTCTCCAATGCTTCTGTTTCAGCAGCTACTATTAATAATGAGCATAAAATAGTACCAGCATGCACAGGGATGTCAAACTTTTGAGATTGCAATGGCAAAAAAATAATATGAAATAAAAATGGCACAACTGCACGAAACAGGTATGTGCTAGGCAATGCCATGAGTGCTGCAGAGATGAGAACACCATCAACATAAATGCTATTAAACATTCATGAAATAGACCTGTTGAAACTCTCTTAATTAAAAAGAAATTATCCAAACAGATTTAAAGTTCATAATTAAATAAAAGCTAATGCAAATCACTACTTTAGTTCCTTTGGTTTGCAGAATTTCAATTTTAATTTTATCAAGCCTATGAATGTTTCTATGAGAATAGATTATGTTCTTTATTATTTTTAACTCTTTCCCTAATCTAGTTCGGCTACATATGCTGGTTTTGATTAGGATAGGGCAGTTATTTGATACCTAGTTTGGTTTGCTCCTATAGATCAATGGGCAGCTATTTGATAAGAAGTCACAATGCTCTCATCTCATACACGCTCTGCTTTACTAAGGTTTTTTCCTAGCCCTCTTCCAGCAGTGCTGGCTGCCGCCACTATTGTCGGTACTGATTTCAAGGAAGTTTCTCATTTTCCTCCTGTCCTTTGGTGTTGGTTTGTGATTTTTCGATTTTTTTCCTTTTCGTCCACCTCCGCTCGGCAGAATGGCAGTGAATCGGCTGGTAGATCCTAACTATTTAGATGGTCGATCAAATCCCGCTCTTTCCTTAATGCTTTATCTGGAACTTCCCCCGCTGTGTATTTTCCCGACCTAAAATCTACTACCTTTTGTAGATTGCCTTCACTGTGGATATTGGAGGAGGAGATTCTTACTCTTGCGTCTCCTCTTCAATTTGAGTTAGTTGGCTATTTTCCTTCTCGCCAACCTAGTCTTGAATCTATCCGGAAGTTTTTTTTCAATCTCAAGCTAAATGGAAATTTTTCAGTTACTTTGTTGGATCATTCACATGCTTTGATTAATTTGGTTAATGATCTTAACTATAGCAGAGTATTTTTTCATAGATCTTACTTTGTTAACAACTGCTACATGAAATTGACAAAATGATCTCCTTTACTTGACATTGGTGTGGAGTCTCCGGTTATCCCCATTTGGATATTATTCCCAAACTTATGGTCACATCTATTCTCCTCTCATATCCTTCACGGCCTAGAATTGTTGTTTGGTCGACCGTTAAAAGTTAATAATGCTACCTCTATTGGCTCTCATCCCTCTGTAGCGCATGTTTTGGTTGAGTTTGACATTATCAAAAAAATTTCTAATAGTTTTGCTAGGTCCTGAAAAATTTGGGTACATCCAACAAGTTGTGATGGAGGATTTTCCTCCGTTTTGTGCTCAATATAAATGTATCGAGCATTTGAAGGGTGACTGTCATCCCATTCCTACCTCTGTCCAAGTGACGGTTAATACTAATGCTACCAATTCGGGTAATGCTAATGTTAGCTCTGATGGGAATGCAACTGTTGTTTTGAAAATTTTGGATAATGAAGCTACTTTGATGCCTATTTTGCCGATTACTGTTATGGTGGTTAATGAGGATAATTGCTTTTTAATTGTTAATGATGAGGATGTTGGTACTGGTGTGGTCGGTCACATTGACGATGTCACTGCTCCATCAACTGTTGTTTTGCCTATGGCTTTTTCTTGTGAAAACAGAGAGGGTGTTAATGAGGTTTTGGGATCCAACACTTGTAAGGTTAACTTTATAGCTAGTCACATTGTGTCACCTAGTTCTAATGTTGGTGATGGTGTTGATGTTGTTGTGGATTCTGATGTTAATTATATTCCTTTGGAACCTAGGGTGAAGCTGTTAGCCCTATGGGTCTTTTGGTTTTTGGTGTCTCTGTTGTGAGTAGAGATGTTGGGTTGGGTTTGGATACTCTGGGTGTTGTTGTTTCTGATGGTGAAGATCCTATGGATACGAATGTTGAAGTGCCTTTCATCGATGTTCCCATTTCTCTTGTATCGAATGATATTTTGTTAGCTCAATTAGCTTTCAAATCAAAGGAAAAGGAGGTAGTTCAAGGTGACTGGTTAGCTTATTGTGATTCTTCAGCTAATTGGAATGCTTGGAAGGAAATTGATGTGTAAGGAGTGGACTCTTAGGAAATTTATGACTTAAATGTTATTCAAATTGCTAAAGAAGATTATTTCAAAAAAATTAATAAACGTAAATGACAGAAATCCAAAAAGAAATAATCTTCTTTTTGGATCTTGTTTCCCTTTTTTTTGTCGTTGGGTCCTATTTGGCTTGGGTGTTGTCTGTTTACCTCTTCGCACCTTGTATTGTTCTTGGGTTTTTTTGGATTTTTCACTTTTTTGGGCATGATTGGTTGTTGGCTCTTGGGATTGAGGTTCTTTCATCGGTTGGATTTGTTTTGGTGGGCTGTTGTTTGTCCTCTTTGTGTTTATTGGCTCTCGTTGGCTCTTTAAGTTGCCTGGTGGATTGTTGGCTTTTGTCTTTTTTTGCAAGTTTATTTTTTATGTTATTCTTGCAGATTGTTGTTTGGTTTGTTCACGTGGCTTCATTTCAGGTGGATGTGCTCATGCCTGCTGCTTCCTTCACTCATATTGATCTTCTTGTGTTTTTCTTATTAGCGATTCATTTTGCTTAACTTTTGTAATATGTAAAACCATTGGCTCCTAGGTTTTATTTCAAAGAATGTATTTTTAGT